CCCCCCCCCCCCCCCCCCCCCAGAGAAATTTCCTAGCTACGCCCCAGCCTCCCGGACATGTGCCTTGCCATCCGGCGAAGAATGCAGATTCAAATAGACGATAGCACACAGTATCGAGGGAGAAAAAAATAGTGTATGTCCTTCCGAAAAAAAACACTAAAAGACGTCATCTTTGAACATCTCCTCGCGTCTGAAAATTCGCACCACGTTTGCCGCGATCCTAGGATTAGGGATGGCTCTTTTCGGCACCCCTGTTTTCTTTTAAGACTTCAAATAAATGTTTTGAAGAATAATGTTAGAAAACTTTCGAAAAAAAACTCCCCAAAAAAGGGTTATTCAAACATTGTCTCTGACAATTTTTTTCTCTTGAATCCTTGATAACTGCTTATAAATTATCGACATTACGAGGATGGCCCAATTTTAACGGATTTTTCTTATTTTTGGTTTGACGGACGGAAATTGAGCTCTTCAAAAATACCGAAAAAGTGTCAACCTTATTTCTAGAAGCTTTTGTTCAAGAAATCATGAAAAATGCTTTTTAACGATCTTTTTTACAGGAGTTTCCCTGGAACAAAAGCGTAGTGTACTAATTGGCAAGCCTGTGTACTATGCTCGTCGCTGGATATTGGACCCTGAGAGGGGATGGGATGGGGGATGGCCGGAACGCGGCGCGATGAGGGTGAGAAGAGATAAGAGGTCAGTTTCTAAGAATCGCGCACACCCTCGCCCTCCCCCTCCCCCGCTCCACGCCGAAAACAAAAATCCTCGCTCGAGGAACGCGGGGTAGTTAAAATACAAGTGTATGAATATCCCTCATCCAACCACGTAGCCACGACCCTTCTTCAGCCGTGCTGTGGAAGAACGCCGTATGAGCCTTCAGAAGTTGCCAGACTTCCTTGGAAAAATCACGGATTTTCAGAGTAATTTGCAAATGTTTTCTTCCGACTTTTCAGAGACATTTGTTCGTAATTTGATCCGAAGTGTCTCAAAAGTTCAAGGAAATATATACATATCTTTCTTCAAAATTACATGTTTTCTCAGAGGGAATTTGGCAACATTTGAATATTCATACAACGTTTTTCCCTTAGCATGGCAGCCTACTTCTCGAGCGACCTCGGCCGGAAGAGAAACCGAGTTTAAAAATGTTCACAGTTCTGGGAACCACTAATCGATGTTCTCCCGGTTAAGGAGTGATCCTGGTCTGAGAGAAAATCCTTCTGTCCTTTTCTGTGCAACAAAAGGGATTACATTCTGCAAATGGGAACTACCTTTTGACTTCACCTTGCCCACTAGAGACTAAAATTTCTGTCAGGTCTATGTAAAATCGTGGTTAAAATTTACCAAAATAACGTTAGAAAAACTTGAAACTGTGAAAGGAGGCATTTTTCCGTAAAAATGGAACAACAGAGAGGCTTCCCTGACTCGGTTTTTAAAAGTTGCTTTAAGATCTTTCTCATTGAAATTCATGAGTTTTTAATTTGTATTTTAATAGCGAAGATCACTGAGGCTGTTACGAGGCTTTCGGAGCCAAATAATTTAATGCGCTACTAATATTTCGGAGCCAAATAGCATTTAAGTAATGGGCTGACTAGGTATCTGCATACGTGGGGGTGGGAGTTGTGGGACTGTGGGGACTTTACCGATTGAAAGAAAGTTCCCGGAAATTCCCGAATAAAATCTTCTTTCCCGGAATTTGATCCATGCATACTACTGTCAAAGCCGAAAGACTAACGCTGTCGTGCTAATGAAAAACGCCGGATAAACCTTCAGGCGCTGCCGAATTTCCTTTCATAAAATACGAATTAATAGAGAAAGTTGAACATATTTTTCTTCCGATTTCCTAGACTTTTTTTCGTAGCTTTTTTCGTAGCTCAACCTATAATACCTGAAAATTTCAAGGGAAAATTTGCATAACTTTCCTCCACGGTAAATTTTTTATCAGAGGAAATTCAGCAACATGCCAAAGTTTATACGGCGCCGTTTTTCCTTAGTGCAGCAGAACAGGTAAACGAACTATCCTTCGGCTGTTCTATTTGGACGTATTTCTACCAAACGGAACTATGTGTATTAAGACATGAGCCCTGAGACCCATAAGAATATATGCATATCAGGGCTCACGACATAAGGCACATAGTTCCGTTTGGCAGAAATACGTCCATTGGTGACTATGTGAGCGGTTTAAAACCCCTGCCTTGAGCTTTTGACTTCCGAGCTGGACTTTTTGAAGCAGTACACCGCCCCCATCACTTGGATGGAAAATAAATTAAGGGATTTTCGATTTTTCTGCGAAATCTGGCAGTGTTGCCACGACGACGATTACTGCGTGGGGGTTCCCAGCGGCCGCGGTATCGCGCGATTCGGGAGGCTCTGTGACATGCGCGCGCGGTTTAATTCCGCTACCTTGCGTCTTATTAATGAGCCCCTCCTTCCTTCAGACTCGGAACACGCTACCCTCATCCCGTTTCGATTAGGGTATATTGAGCACGTTCATTTCAAGTCCTGGCTATTAGAGGGCTAAAAATTCGGAACCTGACCTGCCGTGCTAAGGAAAAACGCTGTATGAGACTTCGGGTGTTGCCAAGTTACCTCCGATAAAAACCGAATTTACTAGGAAAATTATGAATATTATTCTCCAAAAGTTTCGGACGGTTTGGTTCGTAATTTCATCTAAAATATCTGAAAATTTCAAAGGAAAATATGCATAAATGTTGTCAAAAATACATGTTTTATCAAGGGAAATTTGGCAACTCTCGAATGTTCATACGACGTTCTTCCTTAGCACGGCAGAATAGGAGTCATGCGGAATCGAGAGATTCCAAGACTTCCAGTGGCGTGGTGTGAATTGCGATGTATCGATTGTTCTGCCATTTAAACCTATGGTAAAGAATCGATTATTAAAGTGTTCGCTGCGGACACCCTGTTTATCGATCCTTTTTCATAGGTTTAAATGACGGATCAATCGATAAATCGCAAAGCACGCCACGCCACTGAAGACTTCCTCTCGTTTCGGCATGATCGGATCGAACCTCTTTGCTGCAAATGATTGTTGCACTGATCGTTTTAAAATTTCGGGGTTGGGTCGTTTCCGAACTGAATGATCTCGTTCCTCTCGGAAAATTGATGAAATTATTGATTACGAGAGTTCGAGACCAAAGATCACGATTTCAGTCCAAGATACGAACGCCACCGGGGGAATTTTGATATTTTAGAGGTGAAAAAAAAGTTTCTTCGCTTTTCCAATCCGTGACTTTCAAAAACCTTACCAATCCGAGTCACCTTCAAATTCGCGTCTAACTGAACATAAAACCGATGCGCTTTCACTACGGCCAGCATTACCAGCGCGACCAGAGATGCAAAATGAAATTTCAGTGATTTTGCAGGGGCTGCATTAGCATGTGAATTGTGCACCCCGCAACAATTATCAGAGAGTTCAATGAAAGAAACTTCAATATTTGACTCACGATAATATTTTGTCCAAACTTAAGATTCAGCGGTTTCAATGCGATGGCATACTGAGTTCATTGCGAAAGTTTCAAAAAATTTCACGAAATTTTGCATCCTTGTGCGCGACATCGAAGGGTGCGAGGAAAGCCCCATCTCGTACAGTGGCGTGGCGTAAATTGCCATGTATCGATTATTATGCCGTTTAAACGTATAGTAAAGAATCGATTATCAAGGTGTCCGTTGCGAGCAACCTGTTTATCGATCCTTTTCCGTGGGTTTAAATGGCGGATCAATCGATACATCGCAAAGCACGCCACCCCACTGTCTAACCCGCGGATCGTGGCGATGGCGCAGCCATTAATTTCGGAATTAATTGCCGATTCGTCCGCGCGACTAGTTGCTGCAATTAATCGGGCGAAAACGCCCCGTGGACGCAGCTCTGGAGGCGAAAGAGCGACGAGACGGCGGCTGTAAATAAAGTCATCGCGAGCTCATCAATACGTATCCGTGGGTGTCCCCAGCGACCCGGCAACAGTGTGCGCGGAGGATAGGGCGGCGGGGGCGTTGCAGGTCCGCGGGGTGGTAGCGCCAACAGGTGAAGAGGGGTCGCGGGCCGCGGGGCGGGGTGGATTCTCTCTCGCGGCGTTGCCGACATGTGCAAATTTATTTCCTTCCTACCTCTCGCCTTCCACTGGCGTTTTTCTCCGAGGATTCAGGGATGCAAAACGCTCTTCATTCTGCCGCGCTAAGGAAGAACGCCGTATGAGCCATCAGACGTTGCAATATTTCCTTTAGGAAAAATCGAATTTACTGAGAAAATTGTGAACACTTTTCCTAAAATTTTTCAGGCAATTTTGTTCACAATCTAATCTAGAAAATCTGAAAATTCAAGGGATAAATATGCGTTGCTTTACTGTAAAATGCATGTTTTATTCGGGGAAATGTGGCAACTCCAAATGCTCATACGGCGTTCTTCCTAAGTATGGCAGAAGATTTGACAGAAGTATTGCCAAGAAGTCCGGAAGAGGGTAGCGGACATTGTGGGAACTACAATATTCTGTTTTCGTGACATATTTGTTCTTCAAAATTATACTTTAAAAAAATGATCCAAGCGTTTGGAAATTAGGTCCTTAGGAAGGTAAAGGGTATCCTAGCCCAGGATTGATAATTTGGCAGAGGCGGATCCAGCAATTTGGCAACATCGGATTTCCTAAATTTAAATCTATGCTAAATTATCGATTCTTGCACCTGGCCCCTCAAAGGATCGATACATTTCTATAGGTTTAAATGGAGAAAAGACAATGTTGCCAATTTGCTGGATCCGCCAATGAATTTGGTCATCTTCGGTCTCTTTACCGGTCTAATACATGGCCTAAACACGCGTCTAAAAGCCTCTTCGAGCGGAAGCCGTAGATTTTTCAACCGCAGACCAAAATTGGCCTTTTAGACCCATGTTGAACCCGACCAGAGACCGAAAATAACTGAATGCTTTCCGTAAAATGTAGACCATCGATACGCAAAAAATCGTCAAGTCGCGGAAATTCAGGGTGGGTTAAAACGGCCCTTATACATACCCTTCGCCTCTAGTTTCATGAAATTTGCCAGGGAAATTTCAATGAACTTTGATAAATTGAAATTTGAGAGTATTTTTCACGAGCAGATTTGTCCGAGAAATTTCAATCAACATTGAAAAATTGAGATTTAAGGCTATTTTCCATGAAGAGACTTGTCCGGGAAATTTCAATCAACATTGAAAAATTGAGATTTAAGGCTATTTTCCATGAAGAGACTTGTCCGGGAAATTTCAATCAACATTGAAAAATTGAAATTTAAGGCTATTTTCCATGAGGAGATCTGTCCGAGAAATTTCAATCAACATTGAAAAATTGAGATTTAAGGCTATTTTCCATGAAGAGATTTGTCCGAGAAATTTCAATCAACATTGAAAAATTGAAATTTAAGGCTATTTTCCATGAGGAGATCTGTCCGAGAAATTTCAATCAACATTGGAAAATTGAAATGTAAGGCTATTTTTCATGAAGAATCTACAAAACCCTCTGAAACGCGAGAACAACACGAAATTTCGAGAGCGATCCCATGATCGGTATAAAAGTGGATTCGCAAAATTACATGATGAAGACGCGACATAATAATACTGCCGTGCTAAGGAAAAATGCCAACATAACACAGAACACACACTGCGTATAAACATTCGAGAGTTGCCAAATTTCATCCGATAAAATGTTTATTTTGGAGGAAAGCTATGAATATTTTCCTTTGAAATTTTCAGGAACTGTAGTTGGAATTGCGAACAAAATCATCTGAACAATTGGAGGAAAAATAATTACAAATTACTCCAAAAGTCCGGGATTCACCAAAGGAAATTTGGCAACGCCTGAAGGGTTCATACGGCGTTTTTCCTTGGCACGGCAGAATAGCTAGATAAGGTGCTTACGCTTTGGTTTTATAGCTGGCGCCATTGGGCGGTGTGGTGGGTGCGATGGGAGGTAAGCCGAGTTTTGGTTGGTCCAGGAAATAGGAAAGTAAGGAGTTGATTGGTAAACTTTCTTCTTTGGTAACTAGCCTAGCTCGCTTCCTTTCCGAGGGCCCGCAGTCCTCCAATCCATGCCTAGTTATCACAGTTCCATTGTAGTTCAGGCTCCTGCTTAAGTCACCATTAATGTCAGCGGTTAGGTTAAGTGCCTGGAACATAAAATCACACAAATCTCAAATTATAGGAATACGCCACTTTCTCAATATTCACATTAAAATATTATCACGCACAATGTCTTAGGGTCAGGGCTTTCATAAATTCTTCATTATCAACTTTCTTATTCTTAACTTTCCCCGACTCCAGCGCGATGGAAAGATAAGTGACTTGAAGCAGGAATATTCTTAGGTTGCCGATGAGAAGATTTCCCCTTGAATCAAGAATGAAATAGTTTGAATCGGGCAGATTTTTGCTTCATAGGAGCGACTACGTCGAGATCGTGATGTAGTTAGGAAAGTTAAAAAAAATAAATAAATAAATAAAACACACGCGCAAATACGTTGGGTGCGTAAAATCTTAGTCTATTTCTATATACTGATATGGGCATCTCTTCTTCTTGATTCAAGAATAATTCTACTATATAGATATTCCTGCTTTTACCAAGTCACTTTTTTTGCAGCGCTTCTTCAAAATTCGCAAACTTACGGCGTAGCGTAGCGAGATCAATGACCTCAATTGGGTCAGGTTCGGGTAGGCAACTAAACTAACTGTCCGACAACGCGGAAAGTATCACCACCATTTGAAGGCGCTCGAAGCCGAGTTCGTGCTTGGGGAGTATGCAGCTTTTACTATCAATGCGGATTGGGTATTGGAGGAGCTAACACCTACGCGTTGCGCCGCTGCAAATTGCCGGCGATTTCTGACTGCTTGAAGGTCCAGATACACCTGCGATTTACAAGCGCTTGTTGAAAGTGAAACACCAATAGGCACGGAAGATTTCCTATTGGTATTTCACTTTCAACAAGCGCTTGTAACTCCCTGGCGGATCTGCCGCTTGAAACCCAAAGAAAGACGAAGATACGGACGCACATCGACGTTAAGTTTACGTGTTATTTAGATATTATGAGCTATATATTATACTTGAGTGCTATTTTCTTTGCGTTCCCTCCAAGTGGGTTCCACGGATCAAAACCCAGCAGTAAATATCTGAAAGGCAAAAATAGCAGGCCAAAAAAAAATGCAGGAAAAATATCACACATTTGCGCCTTGAAGGCTTAAAATCGAGAGTTATCAGTTTCAAATTTTACGAAAGTTGCGCGGTAAGCACCGACAGAAATTGGTTTACATTTTGTAATTAGGAACTAAAATTTCAGGCTCATTTTAGAAACAGCACATGTGTCATAAGTTTCCCTATGCAGATTAGTGTTTTTATCTATGAGACAGAAAGTGTAGTTCCTTATTGCAAAATGAAGTCCAATTCACCTTCTTCCTAAGTGCGCGGCCTCATAGAACCGCAAAATTGAGAAAATTCGAAACACTTCTTTCATGGCCGCAAAAGATACATCACGGGTAGCCTAAAACCAAAATCTCATCTCATGATTGGTCGGAGAGAACGTCGCTTTCCAACCAATCCAAAGCTCCCTGGGTCGCAAGAACATCTCCTCCCTGGCGGGAATAAATAATCCGATTAAAATTAAATTCAAAATAGGTAATTATAAATTTGCTATTTTACGGAAAACTACTTGCGAAGAATAGACTTGAGGATAGGGCAGCTCATGGTATACGCTTGGCAATCTAGAAAGTTCGGAAAAGTAAACGCCCCCCCCCCTCTTCTACTTCTCCTTTCACTTCGGGAAGTTTTATTTGATTTACAGTGGAAAGACGGGGGAGGCTGTAACGCTAACGGAACTCGATTAACTCTTGAGCCCTAAGACATCCCTCTCCTTTCACCCTCCTAACATGGCCCCTTGACTAGCATCTTAAGATAACATAGGTGAAGGAAAACATTTAAAAATCGAAAGAAGCTGGCATATTAGATACAGTTCAACGCATTATATCGCAAAAAATTAGAAGTAAAAAAACAAAACAGACAGGGCAATTCAAGAAGTGGAGAGGTCATGGCCGGATTCACCTACTTGCCGCCCATGGGCCGCCTGCCTGTATTTTGCCGCCCCCCTCTCATTCGTTTTGAAACTCGATAAAAACCATCAAATGAACGTGTCAGCGAGGGAGGGGTGCATAAGACGCATTTACTCGTGTTGAACACATTTTTGGGGAAAGCCCTGTTAACAGTGGCGTGGCGTGCTTTGCGATATATCGATTGTTACGCCATTTAAACCTATGGAAAAGGATCGATAAACAGGGTGTTCGCAACGAACACCTTAATAATCGAGCCTTTGTCATAGATTAAATGGCATAACAATCAATATATCGCAAAGCACGCCACGCCACTGCCTGTTAACACTACTAGCAAAAATTCAGGGAACTTTGCGCGAAAGTTAAGTTCCGTAAACCTATCTCTGTGTGGACAAGGCCTTCCATTCATAAGCAATAAACGAAAAAATTATAAAAGAACAGACATAAATGTGTTTCAATGATTTTGACTTCCGCCGCCGCGCCGCGCAGACCGCACCGTCTTGGACGCAATGCGTGAAGTATTCACGCAGTCTTGTAGGCGCTATGCGTTTCACGCTGACCGCCCTGTGTTCGGCGCAATGCGTGAAGTATTCATGCATTCTTGTAGGCGCAATCTGTTTCACGCTGACCGCAATGACTGCATTGTGTTTGATGCAATGCGTGAAGTATTCGTGCAGTCTTGTAGGCGCTAATATGCGTTACATGCCGATCGCCGCGCCGAGGGCTTCTCCGTCTCATCTCAAGTCCTCGCTATCATTTCTCTCTAAGTCGCGCCGTTTCAGGCCAAATTGCGTGTTTCGTTTCTCTCGTAACTTAACTTACTGAGGGTGCTGTCTTTTGTAACACCAAGAGACGACAAAATTAGAAATTACTATACTCTCAGGAAATGAGAGATTTTGTCGCCTTTTCTCGTTTGTAATTTTGTTTTTATACATCCGATTTTTTTTTATACTTACACCTTAAAAAATTGCGAATTTTTGCCGCCATGGGCCGCGGCCCATGTGGCCACCCCCTTAATCCGCCGTGGGAGAGGTTTCAAGAATCGACTCTATGGGTCGAAATAATATTTTTACACTTTTCAAGCGAGAATGCGAACGCAATATTTGAGAAAAAAAAAGATGAGGAAAGGAATAAAGAAACAACTGAAAAATGACATTGCAGCGACGGTTATGGCTCTAATCAGGTTCAAAACAATATTTGCAAATAATTTTAAGCGCTGTGCTCGTTAGTATTTTTCCAGGAAAAATGGGAACCCAAGATTAGAGGATATTGAACCTCCAGTGGTCAAAATTAACTTCCGTAAGGCTGCATCACGTAGATCTCCATTCGTTTGATCCTCTTTGAGAGTATACAGTAATGAGAGCGGCTTTAAAAGTTACTTCAGATTTAATTTTTTCATTTTGAAATTGACCCGCGGGCATTGCCAAAATGTTGAAGTAACAAATATAAAATAATGTTCGAACATTAAGGACTTTAATTCCACAGAGAAATCAGAGGTTCCAGACGGAAAAACGTGCAAGCACGACCAACTCGAAGTTTTAAAGGATAGACACCTAAATTGCAGCTGGGCAAAAACGAAATATGAGCCTTCAGACGACGCCGATTTTTTTTCACAAACCAGCAATTTTCCGAAAAATTAGAAAATTTTTTTTCCTTCCGATTTTTTAGTTGATTTCACTCGCAAGATCTAAAGAGTCTGAAAATTCCGACGAAAAATACTCACGACTTTCTTCTGAAATAAATGTATTCTGAGAGGAAATTAGGCAACATTTGCATGATCATACGGCGCTTTTCCACAGAATCATTACACCTCTTCCTGAATCACCCTGTTTGAGAAAAGTGACGTCACCGACGGGATGCAAGCTTCCAATGACGTCACGGTTCCTCCACAGATTATACAATTTGCATTGGCTGGGTCTGATAAGGGCCGTGCTCCTCTGCCGTGATAGCGAAGAGGGCAGTAAGTGCATTTCTGTATGAGCCATGGTAAGCACCAGTGGCATGGCGTGCTTTGCGATATATCGATTGATGTGTCATTTAAACCTATGGAAAAGGATCGATTAACAGGGTGTCCGCAGCGAACACCTTAATAATCGATTCTGTACCATAGCTACAAATGAGGAAATATCGATAATCGATCATTCACGCCACACCACTGATGGTAAGCACTAGAGTACCTGTATAGGGAGAGTAGCGACAGATCTGAAACTCCGAAAGTCCATCAGGCCTTCACCGATGCCTCCGCGAATAAAGTTAGGGCCCAAAAGGGCAGCCAACCTATGAATTTCAATCATCCAGAGCGATTTACTGGTACTATTGTTACGAACCGTCCTTTATTAAGCACGTGTTTGACTCAGTTTTTGCATACATTTACTCAATTTCGCGGAAGAACGCTCATTTCTGTACATTCTTGGCCATCTTGGTTAGAATTGGAATCTGCAGACTGGCAGTGAAAATTTGTGCGTTAGAAGTTGGTTAGAAGGGTGGCTGCACTTTTGGGCCCTAAGCCCTCCATGAACCGATCTGTCGGTACTCTCCCTATACAGGTTCTAGTAAGCACATGCTTTAATGTATCGCGAGGTTCATCCCAGCATGGACTTACTGCTCTCTTCGCTATCACGGCAGTCCTGTTAACGACACTTTTCATTCCGTCGATTTAATATTCCGAGGTTTCCCAGTCCGAATCTTTTGACCGTGAGTTCGAATAAATTACAGTCTTGATTAAAAAACGCCTTCCTTTTTTCTCTCTTGAAAAGAAAAGAAAATACCCCAGTTAGTCCCAAAGACGAAAGGGGGAGGCCGCCAATGAAAATCGGCAGATTCCACGGCTACGTAGTTCCTCCAAGGGATCGATTTTAGATGTTTGATTGTACTGCCATACTGCCGTGCTGAGGAAGAACGCCGTATGAACATTCGAGAGTTGCCAAATTTCCTTCGGTAAAGTGTTTATTTTTGCGGTAGGTTATGAATATTTTTCCTTGAAATTTTCAGGAACTTCAGGTAAAATTGCGAACAAAATTCACTGAAAAATTGGAAGGAAAATATCCATAAATTTACCAGGAAATTCGTGTTTTAT